TTTCTTCCCCAGTTGTGCCATGCATCTGACAAACCAAAACAGAGAATACTTTCATCCCAGAAATCTTGCACATTATTTGGGGTGGAGGTAGGCTGGACAGGAATTACTTGCCTTTTTTTTTTTTTTTTTTTTTTTTTTTTTTTTTTTTTTTTTCAATGGGCTAAGTATACTCACAATAAAATGTTTTAAAAATAGGATTTACTGTGACTTCCATGGATCTTGTGGGAAGAGGAAAGGTAAAACGGGGATTGAAATAATAAGGTCATCGTGATTATTTTTTTTTTTTAAATGGAATTGGATTCCAACAGCAGGCAGCAGAGACCCATCCAGACAGGTTTAACTGGCAGCCTTCCAAAGTGAGACGAAAGGTCCTCTGAGTAGTAATTGTCTAAATGGAACAGTCTCTGGTTATTGTGCAACTTCTTCATCTACTTTATTGTACCTTTATAATTAAATGATGTAATTCCTTTTTTTTCCTTTCTTCTTTTCCTCCCGACTAGTGCAGGAAAGCATCTGAGCAACATTGCCATAAGATGCAGACAGACTCTGTGGCTTCCAGTTTTCTTTTCTGGGTCATTACAGGTGGTATTAAGGAGATGTGAGCTTGTGATTGCCAAAGCAGGACACAAACTCTGCCTTCTCCCGGCCATGAATGGACACTTACCTGCATTTGAAGTCTTTGCTTGTTCAGTGCTGGAGGTGGTTGGTTCACTGGGATTTTTTGGTAGGGTGAGGGAATGCTGCTTTCGCTAGAAACTCAATGGTAAACAGGCAAACACTGAATCTAATAGGATACAGGGAATGCTACATTTAAAAGGGTGTTAAGCAGCAGAGCTATTTAATTCACTGAGGAGGCTGAAGAGACACCTGAGAATCACAAGAAGCTTAGAGCATTGTGCTGAACAAACCCAGAGCCAGCGTTTCCTGACTGTGCAAGGCTTTAGGGATCAGGCGTGAAACCCCGGTCCTGAGATGCTATAAGACTTGACGAGATGTAAAGCAGAATCAGAGGACCAGCTTTGTAAACTCTTTGGTTTTGGCTGGTCCTTCTTCACAAGAGGGCTTTCCCTCAGTCCAAGCAGCCCATTCCCAGGAATACAAGATTATTTAGATGAGTAAAAGTTAGCAAGACTGGGCATGTTCAACTCCAATAATTTCTTCATTGACTGTAATTTCTGTTGCTTCTGGTTTTTTTCATCCATGATGACAAAGAGAACAAATTAATTGCTTAATTTTGATGCAGTTTTAGAATATTCTTCAGGTCTTTTGTCTCTTATGTCTGCCCGCCTCTCCCTGAGTATGCTCACTTGTGACAATCTGTTTAATTCATTGCCTATTAATCTAATTGTAGTATTTTAAAATACGCACAAAAAGGGATAGGAGAAAAATAAATACATACAACTAGTTTATATATGTATTAGTGTCTATTATATCTGTCCATAAGAAACTGGAAGTAACAAATCTCCAGTTTTTCTAGCAAAATCCAACGTAAAGGTTTTGATTTATTCGCCAGAAAGTAAAACTAATAAATAGAGAATAGAATCACAGAAGTGACCCAGCCTCTTCAGAAATAGACCTGTTTTTTAAAACCACTGTCATTAGAACACTGCCAAGTACCATAGGGCCTGATCCTGCCACAAGCCAATTGCCTACAGCTTGCATTAATTTCAGCAGAGTTCATAAGCAGAATAACTGGAGGGTATTTGCAAAGCTAGTTAGGCTCTTAACGACTATTTTTTGTTATCCTTTGATAAACAAACCAACTATTCTCAATCCTGGAAGTTTTGCCCAGGGAAAAATATAGGATCTGTCTCAAAATAAATGGATCACTTAAATACTTTCCAGCTGAAAAAAAAAAAATAAAAGAAAAAAGCGACCAACCACCAAACCTTAATAGCATTTACATTCAATTACATATAGCATTACACACAATATTTGGGGCCAGAACCTGCATTAGTTTATCCAGCTCCGGAAGAGGTGTGCTAGATTAAATTAACAGCTGGCAGAGGAAGGAGAGTAAAAGGCCTATGAACCCATAACATCCTCTTTTATATGGTATTTGCCCTGGAGCTCTCATTTTATACAGAGAGAAGTTTTGCCTGTGCAGGAATATGTCCCCCAATCAGGGTATTTAATTACTACAGGTAGAGAACATCCGCAGCTCTTCGTATCTGCACAGGGCATGCTTTGCCCAGGCACCCATCCCTGCGACCTCTAATTCCAGATGAGGGTCTGCTGTGGAAGAAAAACTGGAAATGCAAGGGGGTCCTGGCAGGATGAACATAGAAGACCTGCAGCATTTTGATCTCAGCTGTTCTCAACATCAGACAGTGACAGCAAATGTGCTTATTCTGCTTTCATCATATAGCTGAGGATCATAAAGAAACAGTATAGTAGCTGGCCTTTGGTGGGAACAGGAAGGCTAGTTGACTATCCATGTAAAGCTGGCTCATTCTAATTCAGTGATTCCAGCATACAAGGACTTTTAATAGATGAGTATTTTACATTACTGATTGCTAAGGGGAGAGTAAAATCCATTAATTCTTTTTGATCTAACAAAACAAAGTGGACAAGCAATCCTATAATATCTTGTTTTATTTCTGAGAAAGTCACAAATTGCCATTATACTTGCTTTTTTATGTTTTTATCTGGAGGTACCAAAGGAACACACCTCTATAGCATTAGTGCTAATGTGTGTGGCTCTTCACTGTGGCTGAGGGTTATAATATAAGAAGATCCTCACTCCAAAAAGACCATCAAACGAACTATAGTGTTGCTATTCAGTATTACAAGTCTGTCCCCTTTAACATTTCTCTCAACGTACAATGAAGTTTGTTAAATGTGTACCAAAAGCTATTAAAGAAGGCAAGGAGTGACACGCGCCGGTATTTGCACATCCCTCCCTTATGTGCACAATTTGCACTTCTGACCTGGTGGCAGCGACTCTGCGAAGTGGCTATGTGGCCATCTGCAGACACATATGTCCAGGAATATGTGTGCTGGAACGCACGTTGTACCTGAGCCTGGGAATCCCTTGCTACCAGCTGAACGCTGTGTATTTAGGGTTAGTTTACCACACTCACGTTCGTTCACACACTCATACATACATACGGACACACACAAATTACAGCCATATCTTTCAAGGACTATCTTCTGCATTTAACCTCCTCAGCTTGAGTTTCCACATTTTTTCTACTGTTAACAATTAGCAGAGCTGCCCTTAGACATAACCCAGTGCCAGGCAATTTCAGCAGTTTCTGGCAGGAGAAACAGACGTTCCTGAACCCAGGACAAGGCAGGAGGTGAAAGAGGAACGCGTCTCACTTATTTCAAGATGAAAAACCTCTGTAATTGAAACTCCATTTGCCAAAGGTGAGCTCTGGTGACGTGCTTGCCCACTGTCAAGGTTGAATTTCTTTGGTTTTGCCCCAAGCACAGCAAGCACACGTGGCAGAGTGAGCCAGCCCTCCATGGCCAGCCCAGGACATCTGTGCCCTCACCTAGATGGAGAAAAGGAATCCCCGCCTCGGCACTGAAAATAGCAGCAGGGTGCCAAAGTGCTGACAGGCTTCCAGCATGTTGACTTGTCCATTAGAAATGGAACTGAAGCCACCAATTCATTTCATATAGGTTGTTAAACAGCAGCTAGACATTAAGGGTGACTAGCAACACAGACAGGATCCCAACTAGTGATGGAGGTTTCCTGCTATGCCACCTGTTTGTGCTGTCTCAGTGCAAGTCTATACTGTGCTACTCACCTCTGTGCTACCCCTTTGAAAACATACGGAACAAAACATATACATTGGCAAACACGTGAGAGTATATCCCTCATGAATAATTAGCTTTAAGCAATAATTCTGCTTGCAACGTCTGAAGAGGGAATTAACGCAGGCTATCAAGGGATTTTGGAACAGACAACACACTTAGAAAACAAGTGTTTTTAAAGATTGCACAGTGTTAGAAGCAGTGGTTTCACTGTGATGGAAATAAACCGCTGGGGAATCATCTGAATGCAAGAGAAGAACCATGGGAGGAAAATGGTATTTTGTTGTATGGAGTAACCATGCTGTGGGTAGAAAAGATGCTGTCATACTTTACTGAAACCCTTATCATCCTCCAAAAACATACATCTTTTGTGGACAGGATGTTTAGGCTCGGTTGTATGCATATCTATCTCCCCTTCCTATACTTTGGATCAAAGAAACATTTGAGGCAAACTGACCATCACTTTGAACCTTATACCTTGGGGGAAAAAAAGAAGGAGGACGACCAAAAGACAAGAAAATACATAGCACAAAAATGCTACAGGCAAACAGATGCATCTCCGCCCCAAGAGAAAATCATTCCTTTCTAACAACTCCTAATAAATCCGTGTAATGTTTTGTAGACATTGAAAATATTCCAAAACATAGCTCAGTGTAAACAGCAAGCTGGGTTTCCTCCTGCTCTTTAGCATTTCTCTTTGTTTACTCTCCATTTGAGAACAGAAAAAGCCTACATGTGGGCACTGCAAATGGTGTATTTTGGGACCGATGGGGTATTTGGTAGGGGAATGATGAAATACAGACATATGTAGCCTCCAATAAAATAATATGTACTTTGCCTGAGTCACCAGGGTCAAACAAAAATATAAAAAAATCCAGCATCTGCTTTATTAATACTTCTTATTTATATGTGGAAAATAATCTGATACCATGGTGATGGGCAGACTATATTAAGCTTAGAGAGATGGACACATGAGAGAGACATTCTAGGGTGTGTCTGCTCTCACCTCCACTGCCTTTCTTGCTCCCAAACCCCACGCCTCAGTAGACACCCCGTGGGAAACTACCCTGGCAGTGCTTCAGGAAGCAATGCCCAGCCAGGCCAGTTCACCCACTGCAGGGAGAGGTACTTGGCTAGAGATGCCAGCTCCCATCTGTGAGCCCAAATGGCTCTGCTCAGCCTCTGCTCAGCTCAGGAGGGCCTGGCACGTTCATTTGGTAAAAAACAGCCCTTACCTTTGGCAATCAGCTCCTCCAGCTCTTGGTCGAATCCTTGTCGGAGGCATTTCCTCCAGAGCCCCATGTTGGTCGAGTTGTACTGTCTGTTGCACTCGTCGACTGCGCTCATAGCAAAGATCTGCCTCCTGTTTCTTGCCAAGAGGAGTTTCCCTTCCCAGCGGTCCAACTTAGACCTGCTGGCCCTGAGAGGCAGGTTGTTGTTGGAGTTATAAATGAAGCCAGGATCATTTCTCTTAGTGGTGATGCTCTTGCACCTCTCTCTGTGCTTCCTGGCATCAGTTTCATACCAATGGTCAGAGCAGATCGCCACAGCCAGCATGCCCAGGGCACACAGAGCTAAAGAGAGGCCAGCATACAGCAGTAACCTTCCAGCAGCCATACCTCAGCTTCACAGAAACACCATGGACATCTTCACAACAGGCAAAGCCCTTGAGCGTGAGACCACGCAAAAAAAACCTCCGGAGCAGCTGCTAGGTGTCACTTGGCAGAGACTGCCTCAAACATCCCCAACTCCTGTGGCTCACATCCACGCTGCGGAGGGATGCTGAGAGCGCTACAAAGTTCTGCCCTGGAGGCAGTCCTGGAGTCTCATCTGCCTCTTCTCCTCTGCGGAGGAGACCTGACGAGGAGAAACACAGCCTTCCACCTCGAACGGGAGCAAGCCAGTGACCCACCTATACAAAGATGTCCTGCTCCCCTCACCACAAGCACCCGAGCAAAAAGGGTTGATGGCTTCTGTCTCCCCTGAAGCTGAAAGCTACGGCTGTTTGATCAGTCCATTAATCTCTTTCAATCTGGCCAGCTCGGAAATCCAGAAGAGATGGCTTTCAGATCAGCAGGCTCACGACAGCATCATCACAGGACAGAAAAGTTCAACAGCTAGAGATCTCCCGCTTGCAAGCAGCCGGGTATCCCGGTTTCAGGAATGGGTGACTTGCCTTTTCTTTTGTCAGCGGCTCAGGGAGAGCATCATCCTCTGGACGGTGGGTCTCTTGCTTGGGTTTAAAGTGGGGTCGAAGGGGAGGGAGCAAGAGTGGGGGAAAGCAATCTGTTGTTGTTGCTGCCGCCGTTTTAAATCGCGGCTACAATACAACCTCCCCGGCTGGATGTGGAACCGCAGGCACGCACAGCTCTCCCTCCCTTAGCAGACTTCGCTGACAGTCACTGACATCTCGCCTCCGGAAACACCTTCGGCTTCTCTCTGCCAGCCTTGCCGTTCACTCGCCCGCTTTTGTCGTCTGCGCTGTCATCCAGGCAGCGGTAACGCCACGGCCCCTTCCCCGGAGCGCCCCGGCGGCCCTTCCTTCGGCTCTCCCTCCCGGCGAGCGCGGCGCCGACCCTCCCCGCTCCCGGTACCGGGAGAGGCGGCGGGGGGGGGGAACCCGCCGCGACCGCCCGCCTCCCGCTAGGCAGCACTGGAAGCGGTCCTCGGCCCCAGCATCGTTTTGTTTTTCCACCACCACCACCCCCTTTTTCCGCTGGTATCTGAAAAGGCTTCCTTCGTCCCCCGGCGCTGGGATGTGTTGTGCACAGTTTGCCTAACACGGCGGCACGTTAGCCATCTGCAAGATGAAGGCAAGGCAGGCAGGGCTAGGGCTGGCTGAAAGGATGCTGAGGAACGGGGAGGGGAGGGAGGGAGGTCGGGGGAAATCAAACCAA